AAATTATGTTAATATCAAAGGTAATAAACATTCAAAACTCATTATTTCCTAGTTATTTCCCTACTGTTACTTATGTTGTTGTAGTTAGTTACATTTATTGTACCTGTTCAGTGGAAATGCACGCACTCTATACAAAGGTGACTTCCTAACTCTGTATGGAGAGATGTCACATTGGTACCTTGAAATCAACCATGGTGGGAGTATTTACAACAGAGAAATCCACAAATACTGATTTGATAAGGGATTTTTGATTTTCAGAGACCTGGAAACACAGTTAAACATTTACCAATACACTACTAGATTAGGGATGAGGGACAGGGAGGGAAAGACCAATTGCCACTGTCAGATTTCCCAGGAAATTTAAAATTCTGTAACTAGGGGCAGCACCTATGGCTCAAAGGAGTAAGGTGCTGGCACCATATGCCAGAGGTGGTGGGTTCAAACCTCGCCCTGGCCAAAAACTGCAAAAAAAAAAAAGTCTATTGAAACAATGACTAAATTATGAGCACAAATCAGTTTTATCTGTCCTTTCACAAATGCAAAATATACTGTTTTGAATAAAAACATAAAATAAAGATTGAAAAAGATGAGAGTTCCCAGTGTCTGGGATGTGCATTAATTATTTTTCCACCATCTGTTGCATCATATTTGCCTCCATCCCTGTTGGTCAAAGCAAGTCACACAGCCAGCCCAGAGCCAACACAGGCAGTAGTGAACACCGTGGGACAGTTCCTGAAGTCATCAACACACTGCCAGCACTAGAAGTACTAACTAGAAGTACTAGTACTAACTAGAAGCACTAACATCTCCATGTTTCTGTGACAGCATTTCTCAAGTATCACAGCACAGCTGTGACCTTTAAAAAGGAAACCAACAGTGAAAATCAATGTGGTATGCATTTGTGTGTGTGTATGCGTTTTAGGGAGGGACAATTTCTAAATAAGGAAAGTACATAGACTGCTAATTAAAAATGGGCACAACAAAATAATTAAGCACATTTTGCCAGCTACACATACCAGCCGTTCCTTCTGCACACACCATGTCTTATCCTTTGCTTTTTCTTTTATCTTAATTACTCAGCATTTAATTATATCTCTGTAAAGCTACAGTTGACCAGATAGATATTAATAAATAGGAAGGTAGACAGATAGATAAATGTTTTCTGACATATTAAAATATTGCCATTATCGTCTAAGCTTTCAGAGAGTATTCTCCTCATTTGAGACTATAAATTAAAAAACTCTAGACCCCATAATTCATGTACACACGCACCTCATAAGCCACTACCTGCCTCTGGGACGCATTTTGAAGGGTATCAGTAAAACTCAGATACCCCTTCATTTCCCAAAAGTACAAGATGCATACTTAAGAATTTTAAGTGAAGGGCGGGGCCTGTGGCTCAGTGGGTAGGGTGCCAGCCCCATATACGGAGGGTGACCGGTTCAAAACCGGCCTGCCAAATTGCAAAACAAAAAAAATACCTCGGCTTTGTGGTGGGCGCCTATAGTCCCAGTCATGCAGGACAAGGTGGCACCACAACCTGCCACTTTAGCCCTGGAGGTGTTGATGTTGCTGCACATGGAGGAACCAGCTTGATATCCCACCCCACACCTGCCCGGAGACACTGGCGCCTTGCCAAGGATGGCCCTTGCTGTCTCCTCCCAGGGCACTCCTGACTGGTGAATTTCATGTCAGTTTCCAAGGCCTGAGAGCTCATTGGATAGATGGCTGTAACTGACAAGGACCCACGCCCTTAGAGTCAACATCAAGTTCCACGAAACAACCCCTGCCACTATATAAACCCTTGAGCAGAGCACCCAAGACAGACCTCAAGCAGAGAGCAGGAGAGCTTGTTCCCCTCCTGGGTTCTCTCTGCCGGGAGGTTTGGTTTTTTGTAGTTGTAATTTTTGTTTCTTTGAATAAAGCCTGACTTACCACTGATCTTGTGATCCGTGGATTCTCGGAGACCAAGGGAGGCTGAGGCAAGAGAATCGCCTAAGCCCAGGAGTTGGAGGTTGCTGTGAGCTGTGATGCCATGGCACTCTACCAACGTAGAGAGACTCTGCCTATATAAAAAATAAAAGAAGAAGAAGACAAATTTTAAGTGAGGCTGATGCGGAACGCCTATAATCCTTGCACTCCAGGAGGCTGAGGCAGGTGAATTGCTTGACCTTACATGTTGGAGACCGGCCTAAGCAAAAAGGAAGACCCTGTCTCTATTAAAAATGGAAAAAATAAAAATGAGGGAAGAGGATCACTTGAGCCCAAGAGTTTGAGGTTGCTGTGAGCCATGATACCACAGGACTCTATCCAGGGCAACAGCTTGAGACTCTGTCTCAAAAAAGAAAAAAAGTAGAATTTTAAGTGAACCTTTCATCAAAGAGTTTTATCTCAGGCCCAAAAAAATAATAGGCACTTGGGACAGGGTATAAAAGATGAAGCATGTCAGAAACACAGACAAAGGCTCGGCGCCTGTGGCTCAAGCGGCTAAGGCGCCAGCCACGTACACCTAAGGTGGCGGGTTCAAATTCCCAGCCCGGGCCTGCCAAACAACAATGATGGCTGCAACCAAAAAATGGCCAGGCGTTGTGGCGGGCACCTGTAGTCCCAGCTACTTGGGAGGCGGAGTCAGGAGACTCGCTTGAGCCCAGGAGTCGGAGGTTGCTGTGAGCTGTGATGCCACAGCACTCTAC